CATGTTAGGATAAAGTAGGATCAGCAAAATGCATGGGATTATTCTTTTTTCCATGGTTTTGGAAAATAGGGACGAAAATAAACCATGTTTCACTGCACACCATTTGTCTTTTTCATGCATGCATGTATATTACTGAAGCAACGCATGCATATCTATTGCTTTTTTCCACCCATGCATTATTATCGAAAAAAACTGCACATGCATATCTATTGTTTTTTTCCATGCCCTTTGCCTTTGCATGACCACCTGTATAACACAAAATTTATGATGAATCAACTAAATAATATAATTATGCATCTATTTGCCAATATCGGGTGGAGGTTCTCTAATAGATTTCGGTAGTTAGAGGATCTTTTTCTTCTGTTGGTGTCTATTAGTTTGTGTTTGCTTAGCTTTGTTTCTGCTATCGTAAACTTTCTGTGTGAGTTCTGTAATAATTGGCTGTAGCTCTTTGAGTAAAGGCCGGAATGTTACATTCCATTATAAAAAAAATCAACTAAATAATATACGGAGAGTTTTTTTTTTTGCGGGGATAGTTTAGGAAAGTCCGAACATATTTTTGAACATAAATATGAAAAAAGTTTTTTACAATATAATAATAAGGGTAGCAAATTCTTATCACATAGGAAAAAAAATACATTTTAAAACAAATATACTCCCTTCATCCACAAATATTTTTGATCCTAGACTTCAAATTCTATCCACAAATATAAGGGATTTAAGAGTAGAACTTTGTAAAGCCACCTCTCATTTAATATTTTTCGATCAATCTTATCCCTAACCATCGTTCTACTGCCCCTTCACCCCGTTTTAAACTTTATCTTCATTTTTCCTTCATTCCTAATCTCTTGAAATCGCTTATATTTAAGGAGAGAGTGAATATATGAAGAATGGTAAAAGTAGATCAAATACAGATAAAAAGTCAGACTATGCAAATTGATGGAATACTTACATGTAGTACATGTGGCGACCACTATGGATCTTCCTAAATGCCAGCGAATTTGTCAAAGCAAATAGATGGAAGACTTCTATGAATTATTATGGTACGATGACCATGGATTGGCTTGTCAGGTGCTATCGAACTTGTTGATGCTGAATCAACATCTCAACATCAAAAATATATACAGTATGGTGATGACGTAGATTAGTTCCTATTGGACGCTGTGACAGATGAGAAGTATGCATGTAAAGAGAATTGAACTGGAAATTAGAAGTTAGAATCAAACCTTAACAATGGAGAAAACAACAATTAGCATTCGGCTGACGTTGTGTGCTTTTCCGGCGCTCACCGGCTGCACGTCAACCTCGCCTTAGTGATTGTGTGTTGCTAGATCCGATAACGTTGATATATTCGCCTTTGCCGCGGCCGAGCGAGCAGAACATAAATGGCGTACGATGTGCTTGTATGTACTGTTTCCTCCTGCCTTTCTCCGTCGTTTGCCGCTGCCGGCCGGCGCGATGGCCATGCCGTGCCCTCCCGTATCTTCCATTGCATCTGATCAGATCGATCTCAGTAAATATGGATGGACTCATCGGTTTAGAAAAAGAAACAAATACCCACGTTCGAAAGAAAAAGGAAAAAGAATGCGTGCGTGAAAGGATCATATCGATGGGCTTGACAATATAGGTTACATGGGCTTTAAAAGACCCACCACGTGGAACTTGGATTAGATTGTAATCAACGGTTGACATATTATGGTTTGTTTAATCAATGGCTTGATCTTCCTGATTAACGTGAGAGCTCCAAAAAAGTGCCCGATTAGTATGGATACATATTTAAAGTATTAAGCGTAGTCTAATAACAAAACAGATTAAAGATTCCACCAGAAAACTACGAGACGAATTTATTAAGTCTAATTAATCCGTTATCAGTAAATGTTTACTGTAGCACCACATGGTTAAATTATAGCGCAATTAGGCTTAAAAGATTTGTCTCGCAATTTCTTAGTGAACTGTGTAGTTGATTATTTTTGTCTACATCTAGTACTTCGTGTATATATCTAAATATTAAATATTAAATGTGATAGCTATGAAAAATTTTGTCCGGGCCTAACTCTGCTAGGCATCAACGAGTCCATGATTCAATCACCGGCTTTGAGAGTGGAGTAAATTTTTCACTCGTCAGACAAGCTCTAGTGCGGTAACCCCTGCGGTGGATTGGACACACAGCTGCATGCATGGCATACAATCCGTGGAGCATGGCTTTTGCTTTTTTTTTTCGCAGGCCTCGACAGCCAGTCACGAAGTTCCGCTGAGCCGCTGACAATGGGTCGCGTCAAGCTTTACAATTGATGTTACTGCTTCTGCTTGCTGCTAGCTCCCTTAGAGTAGAATATAACATGTCCTATATAATCCCTCTATTTTATAATATAAATCATTCTAACATTTCTCATATTCATATTAATATTAATGAATCTAGATATATATCTATCTATATTCATTACCATCAATATAAATGTGGAAAATGCTAGAATGATTTATAATGTGAAACGGAGAGAGTAATAGTTTTATTCGGATTAATCATTATACGATGGTTGTGTTTAGCTCACACTAAAATTGGAAGTTTGGTTGAAATTGAAATGATGTGATGGAAAAGTTAGACATTTGTGTGTATAAAACAGTTTTGATGTGATGAATAACTTTAGAACTAAAGACGGTCGATAACACGGTCGATATGTTACGTCCTGTTCTTGATTAAGTTTGTTTACACGAAGGAAGTACTGTGCTGCTATAGCGTTTACAGTACAGTGCTTCGTTAAATGCCACTGGTACGGAAACATTTTTCTCGTGTGCCCGAAAAATTGGCATCTCTCTTAGCGGTACCGTAACGGCGCATGGAGAGTGATTGAGTACAGTTAGTCAAGTTATGCTCGCCTCCCCGTCCAAAAAAAAATCACAAATATAATGTCGAAACAAGATTTCAGCAATACTAAAAAGGTGGCTATCAAGCTGAAAAAGTAGATGGGTTTACAGACAAGAAATTTTATACAGGTTCAGACCTTCATAATAAGAAATAATACCCTACTCCTGTCCGGGGATTGATCCGTCGAGTGTATTATTGATCGTATGATCTGGGAGAAAAATCGTGTTCTAAGAGGCACCCGGACCCCTCTTTATATAGGGGAAGGGGTCCGTATTACAAAGTACAACCCATATCTCTAACGGAATAGGTAGTTACAGATAAGATACAATCGTAACCTACTATAATCCCAGGTGCTTCCTTGATATACAAGTTTAGACATTTAACCCAAAAACTTTTAAAGATATTCTATCTATACATGGTACCCCCATACCCAGTCGGATATACATTCCGTGTGGGTATGGGGTATCCATAATCTCCACAGTAGCCCCTAAGACCTTTATGGTCAACGAAATAGTCCTTTCTCGTAATTCAAAACGATAATACAAGTGATTCAGCTTCTTCTGCCTTGGTGTCCCGAGTACTGAAGTCAAAGACTGTGAAGGGCTGAAAATAAAAAGAAAATCAGGTGCATCGACCAGATGCACCTAATTAGGTGTAGCCCCCGACTATGTGATCCATCCGAGTGGTTCAAGGTACATTACAACCACCGAATCACTTTGGGAATTAAATATTTAATCTTAAGCAGCACGTGATAAAATATCCAACCGACTGCTTTAACCATAATACACCCAGAAAAGGCATAACGAGACCCGAGTGAAAAGCACTCTAAAAGTCTATAAACCAACATATATGACAAGAATCTGAGTAAAAAACTCTTAAAGGATTCATCAACTGTTGTATAAAGAATGACAAATGACAAGTCAATATGGCCTAAGCTGTGACTTATGTCAATATCAAAATAAGCATATAACATGCTGAGGGGATAGCTATCTGAAATTAGCCATCTCAACAAAACCCAAGCAGCTTTGCAACCTAAAAAGGTCAACAAAATTAGTATTACACTTTTCTACCGGGCACCTTCTTTATTTCGCATTACAGTAATTCCAAAGAATTATCTAACTGCATCGAAAAGGATTTCAACGGCATTGGGCTATCCTGTTGTGAGCAATTTTTACCAAGGCAAAAATATATGCTGAAATCCCTAAGGAACACAACCAGCCACGCCAATATTGAAGTTGGGCTGAAAGCACTGTATAGGCCTAGGCCCATTAGCACCTCCCGATACCCTAACAAAAAACGCTAAACAAGTGCCGCTTCGTCTTCCCTGCCGAGACCTCCGCCACTTTCCCCATTCTCCGCTACAGTACAGCGACCACTCCGGCGAGAACTAGGGCTAGCAAATCCACACCAATCCACTCCTCTCGAAGCTTCGTAAATTCGCAAAAATCTTTTGCGCAACCACCGCACCAATCTCCCCTTCATTCATCGCCATCCTTGCTTCAAATCCCATCATCCATTCTCGCATCCATGGCGTATGAGAGAGAGTTTTGAGAGTCAATGGGCTCCCTCCGATGTTACAGAGGAGAACTTCAAGGAGATGGTGGCGCACAACGTTCTCCTAGCGAAGGAAATTATCGGGTGGCGTGCGGCGTGCGGTGAAGCATTTCTGACCCCTGACACACACGAGGTCGTGGTATTTTCTCACTTCTTCTATGGTGGCTTTTCTCTCCCAACATCGAAATTCTTCAGGGGGATCCTTGAATTTTACGGGATTAGCTTGCATCATCTGAACCCCAATTCCATAGTTCACATTGCCAATTTCATCCATGCCTGCGAAGCTTTCCTGGGTATTAGGCCGCACTTTGCCTTATTCCGCCGCATCTTCTTCCTCAAGCCCCAGCCAAACAAGAGCAAGCCGTGCGTTGTTGGGGGAGCTAGTTTTCAGTTAAGGGGAACCCTTAGTCGGAAATACTTCCCCATGCCCTTCAAAACCTCAAACAAGGGCTGGCATGCAAACTGGTTCTATGTGCAGAATCCTGAACCAGCGCTCCCTGAGTACTCTTGCCTTCCCCCAGTATAACAAGACACTTGGAACTCGCTTCCAGTGGGAGATGAAGCCGCTCAACCGCTTACCCTAATGGAGCACATGTTGAAACTTAAAGAGCAAGGCCTGCAAGGGGAGCAAATCACTCGGCACTTTATCAACAGCCAGCTGGCACCTATTAAAGAGAGATCCCGCACAGTCTTCGAATTTGATGGCAAAACTGACCCCAATCGTGAAGATCCAAAATCTCTTGAGTTCAAGATTATGAAGGAGAAGATGTACAAAATCTTCTCTAACGCTATTGTGGTCTGCTATTCACACCTGCTGCCAGTGGTGCCATATAACACTTTCAACCCTCCTCCATCGGTATGTATCAAAAATATCTCGGCCTTCCTGATGACATCCTTTTGTCTTTTGTAATGTTAGCTGAAAACTTGAAATATTATGCATAGGAATTTTCTCTTATGAAATCTGATCCTCCAATCGCTCAACGCCGCTCGCCCCGCCGGCAGGCTGGTCAGGCCAGTGATGGGCCGAAAATCCAATCTGACGCTCAGCCCAACATCTCAAAGCCAACTAACTAGTCGGGCTCTCAGAAAAGGAAATTAATTCTTTGTGACGACGAAGGTGACAATGTTGGGAAAGCTGGCAGCAAAGAGGTGACCGGAAAACAGCCAAGGCAGGCTAACCCGAAAAAGAAAACATCCAGTCGTCCAATACCAAAAATCAGGAAGTCATCCAGGTACGAGTCATCTAGCAATTTCTCCTGTATTGCCAAACATACACCATCAAGGTAGCAATTTCTCCTTTATTAGCAATTTCTCAAATCTGCAGGAAGCCATTTGACATCGATTCCTCTGGAAAAGACCCTGAACCGACTGACAAGGAGACTGATCCTACGACCACCACAGAAACCGGGCTGACTGTTGAAAATCGCCCGACTGGTAGTCAACCGGCGACCGACAATGTAGAGGCCGGAAATGAACCCCCGACTGGAAACCAGTCGGCCGAAGCTGAAGCCGGTGCTAATCAGGAGCCCCCGACTGGAAACGAGTCGGGTACTGAACAAAATAAGGACATCCCGGAAACAGAGGCTCGGGCAAGCAGCCCTCCCCCAAAAAATACCAACACCGACCCGGAGTCCAATTCATCTGATAAGGTGCAAGGGCCTGCTCGTCCTCAACCGAAGATTATAACAGGTAATCAATTCTCCGAATTCATTTTGACTTGACAAATTCTCTTCGATTACTTCATCATCATTTGTGAGTGTTCAAAGGCCCAATGATCGGCGACGAAGAAGATGTTCTTCGGATTCAGTCAGCTGAAGATTCTCGCCCACCCATCTTAGTTAAATGGTGGGATGATGAAATGCAGCCTCAAGGGATCATAATAAATAAGCAGAAAGAAGATGAGGAAGTGTCCTTGCTTGCAAAGACGCTCAATCAGGCCACTCATCTCGTAAATGTATGTTTCTCACATATAGCTTTACTCATCCTATCGGCCACTTCACTAAATTGAAATGAATTTGCAATGCAGAGAATTCATCTTAGGAATGAAGCGAAAACTACAACCCTCGAGAAACTGGTTCCACATCTCGAAACCCTGGAAGCGACTAGAGCCCAACTCCATGAAACTAGGGAGCTTGCTAGGAAAACCGAACAAGATCTCAGGGACCAAATCACCGAGCTCCAAGATTCCAATTTCGAGCTGAGTGGTTCATCCAAAGGTAACCCCTACACCTGATTAACTTATTCTAGGCTGCTATCCGCATCCAATTAATCAGTGGAATATATTACAGTACAAGCTGCCAAGATCACCGAGCTAGAAAAGCAAATCAAAGCTCTGGAAAAAGACAAGGGTGAACTAACCAAAAAGAGGGACTCGGCTCTAAAAGATGTCGAAGGTATTTGTAGTTAAAACTCTAAAATCATTCTTATCTTCGTGCCTGGACGTTGATGTGAACCTTTTATGCAGATCGCAAAATTAAATCTCAGGCTCAATTCGAAGTCCTGGTCAACAAGATTAAGAAGCTTGAAGGAGCTAGGGATGAAGTTGCCAACGCCGCCACACCACTCATCCAAGCCATGTTTTTTAATAACAATGGTCCGAGTTCGTTCGACGCTGTTGAAATCTTCGACAAGCTGAGAGCTGCTCCAGATACATACTTTAAGAACATCAAAGAAGCTGGATGCATGGGAGCGAGCATGGCATTGGCAATGACCAAGTCCCTGTACCCGAAGATTGATATTGACGCTGTCGACGGCTTTGCAAATGGGACCAGTGAAGAAGATGCCCTTGACCTCATCAATAATGCATAGAAGGTTGCCGACAAAATCGCTGCTGATGTTGTTGAGAGATTTCAAGACAGTAATCTCGGTCCGACTGGGTCTGATGATTCTGATAATGAAAAAACTAAGTCTGATTGACATTGTGTGATGTGACTTATGATGATGGAGGCACAATTTGTACAATACTGATGTATTTATGCTGTGCTTGATAATTTAAACTCAGCTCTTGATTTCTTAAAAGTTTTTGTCAAACCTTATTGAGCCTAGAACCCGCAAAAGTTGTTAAAAACATTCAGTCCTCATTGACTAAGCCAAAAAATCAAACAAGGCAATGATAAACCAAGTAAGCAAATTGAATTGATAAGAATCACACTCTATTATTATTATAGTAGCCCCCGACTGTTAACTCAAGGAGAAACTTGATATTAGCAGTCAAAGAGGGAAAGAAGATACAAAAGTAATGCCTAAGCATAAAAACGACGAAGATGCTCAATATTCCAAGAGTTGTCGACGTGAGTACCATCTTCACGCTTGAGTCGATAATAACCTGGCCGAGTAACTTCAGAAATTATGAACGGTCCCTCCCATAATGGAGATAACTTGTGCCGATCTCGTGTAGTTTGAATCTTCCTCAAGACCATGTCTCCGACTAAGAATGCCCGCGATCGAACGTTTCGGTTGTGATAGCGTCGCAACCATTGTAAATACCGTGCCGACTAAATCAATGCTGCCTCACAAGCTTCCTCCAGTCGGTTGAGATCATCAACTCGGTCTTCTCCGTAGCGCTCCTCCTTGAAATTGCGAAATCGCAAGGATTCGAATTCTACCTCACTTGACAACATTGCTTCCACACCATGAACCAGAAGAAACGGTGATTGCCCCGTGGCCCGACTAGGCATAGTGCGTAGAGACCAAAGTACAGATGACAGCTGATCAACCCACTTGCCGGTGTAGGGATGCAGTCCGACGAAGTCTTGTGCTTTGATTCCTTGAAGTACCATACCATTGGCACGTTCAACTTGTCCATTGCTCATAGGATGCGCTACGGAGGCATAACAAATTTTGATGCTGAAGTCTTCACAAAAATCTTTAAACACACAACCAGTGAATTGAGTACCATTATCGGTGATAATTCGATTGGGTACCCCAAACCAGTGCACGATGTTGACGAAGAAATCTCTAGCCTTGTCCGCTGTGATTGTGACGACTGGCTTGGCTTCTATCCACTTGGAGAACTTGTCAACAGCTACAAATAGATGAGTGAAACCACCGGTAGCCCTTTTGAAAGGGCCAACCATGTCGAGCCCCCAAACCGCGAACGGCCAGGATAATGGGATAGTTTGCAACTCCTGAGCTGGTAAATGAGTTTGTCGGGCAAAAAATTGACAACCTTCGCATGTTCGCACAATTTTATCGGCGTCTGATACAGCAGTGGGCTAGAAAAAACCCTGCCGATAAGCCTTGCCGACAATGGTTGTGGGGACACCCGATATAGTCATGGTGCCCCACGAATATGTAACTGCCCAGGATGTTCAGTTAAGCATGAAATGATATAAAAGTATAAACTTCGATTATACAATACTCAAGTCACTTAGTTCACAACACAACATAAATACAAACCATTACATATATGGCCTATAAAGCCTTATTTCTACAAACAGATAAACTGCTAGACTCCACCACAGGAAATGCCTGAGCGTAGGGTGACCTAGAAACCATAGCTGTCCCACTCTAACGGGTCAACAGGATCTTCACAAGCATCCTCCTCCTCATGATCTGAACCCATTTATGAGTACAAAAGGTACTCAGCAAGACATGCTTATGATAATAAATACAATAATTGCAATATAAAACATGCAGTATCGAGAGCTGCAAGGTTTAAACCCTAACCTTAACAGTTATTTCATAGAGCCTAACTTAATAAACATTTGATATAAACAACACTATTGAACATTTAATTTAAACAATAATAACGAGCATAAAAATATAAATGTTACTTATAATTAACATGAATAGAACATTAAGTAATAAATAAGTTAACCATATTAATTAATAGCCATTTAGTTTAACTTGTGCCCATAATCTGGAATCACCCATAGACACATCTCCATTAACCGGGAGCACGGCGTATTCGAATACTCAACGACTCTGCAGCGTATGCCCAGCTTTACCCGCACGATACCCACAGCTGGCCGGGCTGAAAAGTAACAAGGTGTAATATTGCTCCATATATCTTTCCCTTCTGCCTAGTAAGTTAAAGGATGCTTGGGATGTTGCTCGGAGTGATCCGGTCCGAGGTGTGTACCAACCTACGTCCGCATCCACTTACCATTGTTCGTTACTCGATGGGCAGCCGAGAACTTCATGGGCCAATAGGGCAGTTCTGAACTCTCGGGGCCCATCGAGCCCACATATATAAATCATATAAACATGAACCATGTCACTTTGCTTCACACACTTGAAAGCTAATGGCGAGTACACTGAAAGGCCTGCAGAAGTTTAATCAATTGGAGCAATATACGGCCAGGTTCGACAAATCGATCGTGTGGATGGGCGAAACTATGTCATTCTTATTGACACAAGGGGGTTTATTATTATATCAATTTTAAATAAGAAATAACCATAAATATATCCATATATCCATCACGACCATAAACAGGTCCATAAAACCAAACACATGAACTCTATCATGTGTACCACCCGCTCACATGCGCTGTCAACAGTTCTTAGCATATAGCCATAAATAGTTCCATAAGCATGTTTTCATAAGCAATAATAATAATATCCATATTAAATCGATAGCATGCTAAATAATTAACAGTTTGTTTAAATGTTTCTCAAATTTTATCCTAAGTTTGTTAGACTCTAAGGCTCATTAAGGTGTTTATAACAACAAACAGAAAATATAATGCAATAATAGTAATATAATTAATTTAAAAGAATTCGTGCAGTCTATCGTACTCCAAAGGACAAGTACGCTACTAAAATAACTCTCTATCTACTCGGATTAAATTTCTCAAGGGAGGGTGCATGTATTGCAACCTTCGGGCTCGATGTAGTCGCACAAACCATCTCCTCCTGGCACGGAGATTTCACTCGCTTCGACTACCGAACCAAAGTCAGCATTTTCTATTTACGCAACAATCATCACCACAATAAATAACAGAAAAACAAAGATAACCAAAACAAATAGTATCACAAAGTGCAACAATGGGTGAAAAGGATTTAAAGAAATAATTTTAGGGATTTTTTGGAATTTCGGTGAACGGCGAACCATAGGCCTAAAATTAGGGTCGTGACAACGGGTGCTCGGATTGCAACGAAACTGACACGGATGGATTCGGAATAAGAAAAAGGATTTTTCTTATTTATTTTTCAATAGAAAAATCGGATTTTTCTTTTCTTCTCTCGCTCTGTACAGGAACGGCCGGCAACTCCCTGGCGCCGGTGGTGGAGATGGCCGGTTTTGAGCAAGGGGGCGCCGGTTTCACGATCTAGGGGTCAGGGCGACTCCGTTCCCGTGGTTGGCGGCGGCACAGGCGGTGGCGCAGGCGGTGGCGGCGGGGCTGGCGACGGCGGCCTAGAGCAGGAGGCGGCGGCGGCCATGGCGGCAGTGGTGCAAGGGGAGCGCGGTGGTGGCGGCGGCTCGGCCTATGGCGGCCGGGAGCGGCGGCGCGCCGTATGGCTGGCGGTGGCCGAACAGAGCGGCGACGCCGGGAGGAGGCGCTGGTGACGTTCCGGCGACGGATTGGAATGGGAAAGAGAGGGAAAAGGTAGTACTCGGCATGGAGAATCCATTTTTACCTTCAATTTCAGAGGATTTGCGATGTATGCGACGAATTTAGGAGCTTTATTAATGGCGCAAATTTTGCGTTTTGGGGATTTTTCCTCCGGTAATGGCGATTTGATTCAGTGGAGATAGGTGCGCATTTGAGTAGTAAGAGAGGTCGGAATTGCGGTTCTTTTACCCCCGGTATTGAGCCTTCTAGTTGAGGGACGAAGGAGATACGGAGGCGGGAAGCTGGAGGTGTCGTCCGGGGATTCGTCCGTCGATCGGCCTCATGTGCACGCGTGCGAGCGTGTGGCATGCGCGGGCTGGCACGAGCTGGGCGCGAGCGTGCGCGAGCATGGTGCGGGATCAGCGCGTGACAACACCGGGCGACACAGGCCCTGGCTCGGCCGAGCCCAGTAGAGGAAGAAAGAAAAGGAAAAACAGAGAAAGGAAGAAGAAAGAGAAAAACAGAGAAAGAGGGAAAAAGAAAAGAAAAGAAAAAATAATAGAGAAAAGGAAAACTAGGGTGGAAATAAAGAAAAGGAAATTTTGGGCAAAATTAAACTAGATAGAATTTGAACTGATGTGATATTTAGATGGTGCGATATTTGGGATAGATTTAAATCGGATTCAAAGGAATTATTTGAGGGATGATATGCACTTTGCGACAAAAAATTAAACGAGAAAAGAAACACCGGAAACAAACTTGGAAAATAATATTTTAAATAAATGTCTAACTCGACGGTTATATTTTTAGAGAATCAAAGCAAACTAAATCGGTTTTAAAAAGTTGTCAAATTTTAAGGATGTTACAATGGTTCGTGCGGCAGCGTGATTGTCGCTGATGCCCGAGTGTATATCTCTGAGCAATTGCCTTCCCTCCTCCAAAGAGACACAACGTTGCAGAATTCCTGATGGACTTTTCTTGTACAGCTCGGTCTCATGTATGACATAAAGCTTGCTGCGCCTGGAAATCCGCTCGGCTTCGTCTTTATCCTGAGGGAGTTCTTGCTTGGTCAAAAACTTGATGAGGGCTCTCTCCAGTCGGCGTCGATCATGCTTACTTCTTGAGTGTCTACAGCCTCGGTTGTTTCCCTTCTTGGTACGGTTGGTTCGTAAAGATGCTCAACAAACACATCAGAGGGAGATGTTTCTCGTTTCGAACCGAAATTGGCTAGTCTGTCGGCCGCCTCGTTATTATGTCGGAGGACATGGGTTAACTCGGGGCCGTCAAACTTGTCTTCTAACTTGCGCACCT